CATCTCCATTAGAAAGTGCTGTTGATAGCGTTTGTACTGGTATACAGTTGCCAGTATGGCAATAAAAATGTATGCACAGCAGGGTCATTGGAAAGGTTTCCTAAAACAGGATGTAGTATCAGCAGAAGATAATATGGATGGGTGCAGTTATGCATATTCTCACAATATTTGCATCACTCTAAGGGAAACAAACAGCCCCTTTAAAAAAGAAAAAAGGTTTAAAAGCAATATTCCCAGTGTTCCATCACATTATTTCCATTTTGCAGTAATTGCATTCTTCGTTCCTCTGCTCCTCTTTCATAATCTGTTCTTCCACATGACGATTTTTGCTTTGTCATCTCAATTTTTTGACACCTGAATGCTAAGCATTTCAGATGGCAAAATGAGCATCAAGTCACTGGATGGCAATGTAGACCTGGAATAATCAATAATGACTGCATAACTTTCAGGCTGAGAAAAATAAGTTCCTGTTACTGTCAGTTAAATTCACCATATCTCAAACACATCTGAGCTCTGTGAGCTGCTCTCAGCATGGAAAGATAGTCAGCATGTCCAACTCTAATCCCCCACTGCGACCAGTCCGTAGAAAATTATTTGGGGTCTGGAAAGACTAGAGTGAAAACTGTCACTACCTGGGTATGCACGGTCTTTAATGTGTCTTGTTGCACAGGCCACTAATACCAAACAGAGCTTGACATAAAGAAAACTCTGTGAAATTCAATCATACAAGTCACTGACATATGCAGAAAGGATACAAATGTTTTTAATTCTACTTTTCTTGCTCTGCTATACTGCTTCTGATTATGAAAACAAACTGCTATTCTTCCTTAGCTACTCAAGTCCCTGCTGGACCTCCAGAAAGGGAGACAAATGGTAATTTACACCATAAATTTTATGAAAAGTTGAATGTGGGGTCATTTTTACCCTGATCAGTCCAATCCACTGACAAGATTGAATTGACATATGTGATTCTAAGGAATCCCTAGCTTTAAGTTTGGGCAGCAAACTCAAGAGACCGCTACAGAAAAAATTAATTACTTCTCAAACCAGTGTAGACTTATAGCAGAAAAAAAAAAAAATGCCAATGCAACATGGCTAATATACAACCAACCATTTCTATTGCTGTGACAGTACTCTGCATGTTATTTAGTTCTTGCTCAGTATTAAATAAACAATGCAAATATTACTTACAGGTCAGAAAGTAGGAGGTATAAGGATGCTGTCTGCTAATTTTGAGAAGCATGGTACAAGAGCAACCTCCAGAGCAGTCAGATGCCATAGGACTCAAAGAAGCTTCAAAAGCATGCATTTGTCTGTTATGGCATAGTCAGATCTTTATGCCTTTATGAACTAACTATACTTGGCTTGTAAACTAATTCTAGTTATTTTTTAATTAGAGAATAGAGAGCACTGAATATTGAGAATAGAGAGCACTGAATATTATGGGGGGAAAAATGGATCATCTTTATTCATTTTTAAAGTTTAAATACATCGTGACTTTCACCATGAAAAGCTTAATATATGTAGCAAAAATAATGAGAAGATATGCAAACTGTTTTTATTTAGCAGGTGAAAGAAAGATACAGCCATGAAGACTAGCTACACATCAATGTAGAACACTTCCTATTTTCATAGCGACTGAACATAAAGCAGTTTTTACTGTAGTAACTGGGATAGCAGGCTATAGATAATTCCTCCCAGGCTGTAACTATGAAAAGCAGAACAATAACTGATAGAATTCAAGTCTGTAAATTTTATTCCATTATGCTTTCTAGTCTGAATTTGCTGTCTAAGTATCAAAGCAGCATTATGGTTGTTCAGTGTTTTAGTCTACCCTCGAAGCTCCATTTTCACACACCTGCTAATGACCAGCCCAAGAATTTCTGCTTTTTCTCACTTTTCCCCCACCTACTGGAGGTTAAGGTTGGCCTTTCCACAGGTATGTGGACAGCAGAACTCAAATGTGCAAGACTTCATATAAACAGCCATTCACAACTAGATATTTAAGCCTAGCGGATACAAAATGAGCAAAGTCTGGAGTTTGCCTACGAAGATTCCCAGAGCAGAAACCTTCTTTGCTTCACTGGTGTCAATCGATAGCTCCACATACAATAAGTACTTCAGGGAGAACAAGAACAGTGTTCCATAGCCAAGACTGGTGAGATGGGATTTGTCAGGGTCCTCAGCAGATGCCGTGCCAATTCATAATGAGAAACACTAATCCAAAGAGCTGTATTATTCGTAAGAAAAATCAAAAGCCCACAGTTGACCACATACACTAACATATTTCTTGTGTCTATTTGCAGAGATGGCAGCACATTAATGGAACTGCACCAGTCATATATAACATTGTATAACTCATTATTTCTTAGGTCTAGGTCATTACAAAGAATAAATTGAAGGCTAACCTGATGATCACTGAAATGAGCAGCAATGGAATGGATGAAAGAGGAAAGGAAGAAGTTGAAAGATATAGAAAGGAAGGTTAAGTTCTCACAGATGAAAAAAATGTTTAAAAGGGCTGTATATGCATCTGAGCAGTTGCAGTGATAGCCTCTAAACACATCTTCTCCAGACAGAATAGCTCAGACCTCCCCTTAAGCTTGATTACACTTGTTGAATTTCATCTATAACTTGACACAGGCAAGTTCAGTAGCCATAGCCTTGTGAAATGCGTTCATCTGATTCGTGTCAATATGGAATAATGCTAGGGCCACATGGTATGAAGAATGTGACCTTCTGTCTTACATATCCTCGTATAACCACAAGTCTAAGAAAAACAGAGTAGTTTATGTATATAGTTCTTGTATCTTGCAAAGGAATGTTTTAGCAATTCCTGTCAATAGAGAGCTTGAAGGGAAATGTATTTGTAGGCTTTTCCTTGAAGTCTCTGATATCTGGGGGGGGGGGGGCGGTTCAGAATAACTGCTATTATAACTATTGCATGGGACACTATGCAAGTCTCTGATATCTGGCCAGGATATTAAGGAGACAGGGAAAGCTGAAGAACGACTAAAAGACAAAGCTTGCAGGGGAGGCTGCACAAGTCTCTGACATACAGCCAAGTTGGACAAAGGAGAAGGACAAGAGGGAGGAAGACTATGAGCCTTCAGCATGAGAGACCGCCAGAGGGACCACCAGATATGGATACGCATGCTCCAGTAGGAGGGTTTGGATTCCAGAAACTAATTATAATAACCCTGGTTTTTTAGAAGTAGTAATGAATATGTATTAGCCTTGGAGCATAAAAATCAGCTGCTTGATGTAACTGGTGTGCGTCTTGGTAGAGAAGAGACTCCCGGCGCACCCAGCGCTGTTTGCTTACCTCTATTCCTTTAATAAATTCTAAACTTTTATTATAGTCCTATTTTGAAGACTGAGCCATTTATAACAATTGGGAGCTCATCCGGGATGGCTTTGGTTCCTGAATTCTGATTTGATCTAGGAGAGGCATCCCACCATTTGTTGGCTCCTCTTCAAGTCAGGTCAGAACTAATGCCATCTCGAACCTGAATAAAGGTAAGCAAAGCTTTTCATTTTTTTTATGAGCTCCCTTGCCGGCTGCAGCACTGTATTTTGCCTGTAATTCTGTGCGTGAAGATCCGAACGAAGACGACGGAGTCATAAGTGTTTAAGGAGTATACCATTCGGTTGGGTGGGATTTGGTTGCCTGTGTGTGTAAGAGCGTGGCTGGGACAGAACTCAGTTCCCAAGTGAGTGTGGAGGTCTTCTAACTGCAGTTCCAATCTCCTGCGATGGACTTGGCCAGTGAAGGACCGAAGCGAATTGAGTACCGACTGGGTGATGAGATGCTGGAGAGCAGCCCCGCAGAGAGGGATCCAGGGGCGGTGGTTGACAGCAAGTTGAACATGAGCCAGCAGTGTGCCCTGGCAGCCAGGAGGGCCAACCGTATCCTGGGGTGCATCAAGCACAGCATTGCTGATCGATCGAGGGAAGTGATTGTCCCGTTCTACTCTGCGCTGGTGCGGCCTCACTTCGAGTACTGCATGAAGTTCTGGGCACCACAGTACAAGAAGGACGTTGAACTGCTGGAGAGTGTCGAGAGGAAGGCGACGAAGATGGTGAAGGGCCTAGAGGGGAAGCCGTATGAGGAACGGCTGAGGGCACTGGGCCTGTTCAGCCTGGAGAAGGGGAGGCTGAGGGGAGACCTCATTGCAGCGTACAACTTCCTCGTGAGGGGGAGTGCAGAGGCAGGCGCTGACCTATTTTCTGTAATCACCAGTGATAGGACCCACGGGAACGGTGTTAAGCTGAGGCAGGGAAGGTTTAGGCTGGACGTCAGCAAGAGGTTCTTCACTGAGAGGAGGGTGGTCGCACACTGGAACAGGCTCCCCAGGGAAGTGGTCACTGCACCGAGCCCGTCTGAATTTAAGAAGCGATTGGACTGTGCACTTAGTCACGTGGTCTGAACTTTTGGGTAGACCTGTGCGGTGCCAGGAGTTGGACTTGATGATCCTTATGGGTGTCTTCCAGCTCAGGATATTCTATGATTCTATAAATAGTGTAGTCAGAGGTCATGGGGCTAGATTTAGAAAAGTCCTGCATAAAGAAGGAATCTCAGAGAAGAAAATGTAAATAACATTAATATCAAGAAAAGGAATTCTGATTGCTAAATTCTTTATCTGTCATGACTAGACAGATGAAAATCTATGATGGCAAGTCTGCCTTTAAGGTCATTTTCTTTTTTATTCATTTCTTTTATTTATTTGTATTTATTTTTTTAACAGGCTCTGTACTAATTTTGCTCACAGAATGACTAACAGAAATATGACCCTTGTGCACCTTTTGTAGTTAATTCATTAGGTCAACTGTAACCACTAAGCCCCTTGTCAGGTTATTTCTACTAGTGATAAGGAGCAATAGACCTTAAAACTTTGAAGCCAGGTAGACGAGCTTATTCCACAAGGTCTCTTGGCTCCACCCTTGTGAAATGAAACCTGCCAGGTGTGGGTCATTTGACCTTTGCTATATAGGAAGCCTGAGGACTTGCAGGGGAATTGCCTCCCCAGGAGAGATTGAGGCTTGGGTAGCCTAGGGTGTTTTTCCTCTCGTGGTGAATTGGGCTCAGTGTTCCCTACTAGGCTGCTTTTCCTTCATGTTTTCTGCCCTCTCTGTGAAATAGTTTTAGAGACTCGATGAGCTAGTTACATTGGTGATGCCTTCTTCAGAAAAACCCTGGTGGCACTATTTCACTGCGAAGCATTTTGGAAGTGACTTGAGTTCAGAAGACAGCAGGTGAGTGTTCCTGGGTTCTGTGGTTGTTACTGTTGAGGAGTTTGAGTACTTCCTTCACCTTGTCTTTTTTCTGTGAAATTACTTAGATGGATTCTAAGCTCCCTTCCAAGAACTGGAGGGGAAAAAAAAGGCCTCAGAAGCCCAAGTGCACACAGGTCAGCCTGACGTTGAAGAAGGTTCTTAAGTATTTGGAAGATTGAAAAACGGGCTGTGTGAAAAAGGTGTCTTAATGTGAACATTAATGTTAGTAGTAGAATACCTGTGGATCCAGAAGAGAGCAAGTATGCTGTAGCTGACACATGGAATTAGAAATTAGAGAGCAATTGATTAAGAATGAATATGTGCTACATTTGCAGTGTACTGTGCCTGTGCTGCGCTTAGACCTCCAGATAACAGGAGCCCCTTGGGCCCCAAGAACCAGATCAAAACAACCTCATGGCTCAGACTTTAACCAAGGGGTCTGAGATAAGGAGGACTGTTCACAAAGGGACAGGTTATGCATATGTATAGGAGTGTTGGGAAACTTCATGTATATGTAACTCAGATATAACCAAAGCAAGTTGCCACGTTAGGAGTGCACAACTTTGGTGGGACTAACCCCCCCCCTGTGCCACCCAGCACTGAGTAAACATACCTTCTTTACAATCTTACTGATCGTGGAGTCAGCTTCAACTGTGGAATCAGCTCACACTGATTACCATTTTAGGGCACTGTTTCTTTTAGACAGTGAAGGAAGCATAGCTACTTAATTCAGGTATCATGATCTTGCTCCTGAGATAGATGCCTATAAATGTTACAATGCTGAGTTGTGCTTCCACTTTTTGAATTTAGCAGGCCATGAACAAGTTAACAGTATTAAACACCATCAAAAGACAAACACCTAGGATAATCAACCACCCTATAATTTATATCAGATTCATTGTTGAAAAGAATACAAATTACTCATTACAAGTCACCCCTTGCCTCAGCCAGATGCCACTTTCAAGCCCACAAGAAGTCTGACAAACAAGGCTGGACATTTGTTCCATAAAAGCAAAAATAAATACAAAGTAGATATTGTAATACCACTTGGATCATCAATACTTGTAGTTTTAAAAAGGCACAAACAGGACTATCCATAGTTAAGAAACACAAATGTAAATCTTGAGCTTTTAATTATATTGTTTATTTATAGTTAAACATTAACATCTTAACAGAAGTCTGCAAGCATGCAGGGATGATCTTTCAGTGATGTTTCTGTTTAAATTGAAGTCCGCAGTAGCCACACGTTCCAGTCTTCGTTTCTTTGTCCTGCAAAAATATAAAGACACCGAAGATGCTAGTTTCACTTTACAGAACTTTTAGAAACTACAAAGTCTCTCTTACTTACATTCACCATCTTAAAATTGATCAATATAGGTCAGCACAGAATTTGTTTACTTGAAACACTGCAAGTAAGAAAGGTGGTAAGAGGTTCATACTTGGTATCTACACCATACACAGCTTCCCTGCTGCCATTTTTAACTACCAGTCCTGATCTCTAAACACAATTTTTAAGTCCAGCCAAACGGTATCTTTTCAGCAATAAAGGATTCTCTTACCAAACTGGACAACTTAGGTCAGTTCATTCATATTTGTTCCAGTGCTCTGAAAGGATCATTTTGTATTTATTTTAATAGAGAACGTGATTTTTCATTTTCAAGTTATATCTAGATAGGAATTTCAGCCAATAATGTACACCGACAGAATTAGTTACATGAAGGAGGAAAGTTCAGTAGAATTTCAAGAGAAATCCTGAAAAGAAACATTTTGGAGAAACAGATTACTACAGAATAAGATTTTATTCTTCTCTCCAAAAGATAAAAGTTTATATATAATTAAAATTTAGAAGTGTGACTGATTGCAAGCAGTTGTTGTCCTCCTTAACACAAGGAAAAGACAAGACAAGCAGACACCAGGAGGATTTTCTGCTATTTAGCAACGTGACTATCCACAAGTTAATATTCAAAGTGAAAAAATCCAGACTACCCTCCAACCCCCCGAAGTTGGGGTTTCAATTACTATGGCCAAGGAGGACAAGCTGATCTAGTATCATTCTCTCTGTTTGCAGGTACCAGCATTCAAGAATTCAACTACAGACCTCATATAATTTAATTGTTAACACAAGAAGATATCAAAAGTTAGAGAAACTAAAGCATTTCTCAAGAACAGTGTGATGCAGGTCAAAAAAATGAACGTTAAGTCAGAACAGATTGCTAAAGAAGTTAACTTCTTAAGACTAAAGAATACAAGCTTCCTAAGTTTTATGAATTAGAACATCTGCTTTTGAAGAATGTAAAATAAATCATTATAAAATGCTTATTTTGTTCAAAATTGAAGAAATTATGATTGTCTCAACAATGCTGACGCTAAAGGACACTATTGTGCGTTCCCCCACCACCCTCTTGGGTATTAAGCAAATGTCAAAGTTGGAGGTAACCAAGCAAAGACTAAATCATCTTCAGTCTGCCTTAGGACAGTGCCTATTCAACTGATTCCACCAAGTTCATCAGTAGCCTCAATATTCTTCAATCCAGAATAAGAATACATTGGAAGCTATATCGCTACTGCCAGAGAGAATAGGAGGATAAGACATTTATTTTCACTGATTCTCTGACTACAATGAATGTTTCAGTTTTCAGAAATGCCAAGATTTAGACTTCTAAAGACAGTATCTTTCCTTTCTTTCCCCCCTTGACCTTAGAGGATTCTAAAATAAACCACAGTCCTAAGAATAATGCAGAAGTATGGCTAGTCTACACAGTGGATTTAAGTAGTTAAATGCCTCAAGACACCGCAAGCTTTTTTTTTTTTTTGCTCACAAGGCACTGCTCGTTAATATTTTTTTTATTTGTTTTGATACTTATAAGATTTATTTTTTTCTAGAAAGTTAAAATCACAAGCAAGAAATTTCTGGTAACTTCAAATAGAGACTCAAGTTCTTCTAGGTAGAAAAAAAAATTAATTTTGTATTAGGCACCAAACAAAATGAGCCTCTTAGTAGTTGTTTTTTTTTTTACTTCATTAAACTAACATGCCAAAGAGCAGATGAACTTATACACAAGAAATAACAAGCAAAACGTGCTATATGAAGGACAAAGATATTACCAAGTTTATGTATACTTTAGGATGTCCCAAAGCTCCACCACCACCATCGCATGATATCACTCTGCTTTCAACTTCACTCACAGGCTGCTCTGCAATCAAATCAATTGCAAAATTCTTGTTCACCTGAAAGAAAAAAAAAAAAAAGAAAGCTTTCAGTTATCTTGCACACTCAAACAGAAAACAATTGCTTCCCCAAATAGTTACACTACAACCAACTTAAGAAGTTCCTACACAGTTTTTTTTCTGACCTTCTCCACAGCTGTAACAACTTCAGCTGCACTGTATTTGTTCACCAGACCAATGAACTGAAGGTGTTAAACCCCACAAAAATAATGCCCATACCCTGACCCAGACCACATCAATGCTCAGGTTACATGACCTAAGCAGATTCAGCAAAGAGGTGAGCAGGAACAAGCAGCTGAGAACAGAAAATTTTTAACTGACACTGCCTCTGTATTGCTTTTGCCACTACATGATAAAATTGCAAAAAACTGTGCTGATAAACTCAAAATAATGGTGGGACAAGTAAGGTCATGAGAGAGATAAAACAACTGCCAGTAATTTAGAGCCTCCCACCATGCATGTTACTCCATCACTGCACATAAATCTCAGGAAGACATTAACTTGGTACACAACAGTTATAAAGGCAAATTGTTCAGAATTAAAAAGAAGAAAAGCCTCTAAGCACTGTTATGCCACTCTGTAAATCCATCTTATGCACAATTCCTGAATATGTGTATCACTACTGACTGTCAGACTTTTTACTCGAGCATGTCTGTGAGACCTGCCGAACACACCCCTTCCTGGAGAGTGCCAGAGGCAGGCAACAGAGCGAGCTGCACCTACACAGAACCTGCAGCACTTCCCTCATTCGTCTGTGCCACCTTCTTCCAGCTAGCTCAGAGCCAGCACTGAGCAAACAACCACCCCTGTCAAAAGCAATGCTACACGCACAAGAATATAAAATAACATGCAAACCCAAAGAAGGTGCTATCTACCATACTGTGCATAAGTTTCATCAACTTGTCAGTATCTGAGTCTTAGGAAAATACAAGATTTTTAAGTGCCCATTAAATGAATCTAAGAACCACAAGGGTTTTTTTTTTTTTAATGTAGTTCTAGTACATGACAACTTGTATTCTTTTGCCAAGCCTTCAATTAAGTCTCCACAAAAATCTGTGCTTTCCATACAGCAATAGAAAAGTCAGTTTGTCAACCACAGGATTTTATTTGCCTAAAGCTATATAAAGTTAACAAAAAAAATTAACTTTCAGTATTGTAGCAAAACGGCAACATCAAGGAACTCATTGCACATGACTTGTGGATGTCAGTCCCAAGCAATCTCAGTGAGCTTGCAAGGATTTTAACTGCTGCTTTAAGTAATGATCAAGATTTTGGATCTTTCTTTTTATGCTGAAGGAGGAAGACAGCACTCTGGTGCAACTCAGCTTCAAGATCATAAAGAGAACTCCACTTTTCCATATGCTGGCTTATTTCTGAACCACAAAAAAGTCTGCGGGGATAGGGGGAAAATAAGAACCTCTCATCTACTGTACAACAATGACTTGTTTCTGGTTCAGCATGCTAAACAAAAGTCTAGGAATGTGCAAGGAAAACATGCCAGAAAAAAAGACTGAGAAAAAAATTATGTGGGGAAAAAAAAGAAGCAATTCTTGCTTCAGTTATATCACGTCCCTTCAATTAAAGCACAGTAGTAGTCACTGAGGAAGGGAGATTTCTCCCTAAGCACACCCAAACAGCATGGTCCTTACCCAAAGCATAACTCAATGAACAACTTTTTTTTCTCCCCAGTGCCAGCCCGACAATCCCACTGCTGCTTGTTCCCAGCTACTTGCCTGTGCCAGCACATTGTCTGTGAGGCTGAGAGTGAAAAACCAAACTTGGAACCAACCCAGGTCCAAGAGTCCAAAGGAAAAGAAGTCTGTATTTAAACCAGACCATCTCTGATGTCAATTCTTCTCACGGCTTCTGCTGCTGTGCTAGCACAACAGGAAGAGTGGAGCTGAAGTGGAAATTGCAGTGTGGCATTAGATTCTGTGTCATCTTAGGGATTATACGAGGACAGGATTACACTGGTCTGGCTGCACAGATGCAGTTTAATAGCTGCCATTCTCAGTTTTCTCACAGCTACTTGTTTTAGACCCTTGCCAGAGATCATTAATCCCCCAGCTCTGCAGATTTAAACATTCAAGATCCAGCACGGAGAACAATGATTTCAGCTAAAACACATGGATTTTGTTAGCCAAACAATTAGACTGGCAGAACTGAAGTGACAGCGTCCACATAACCTGGCCCTGTTCTCCCACAGCCTGGCAGGCGCTCAGAAGGGCCACGTGCAGAACCAAGGTGTGCGGCCAGACCTCACTGGGGGCACGTGGAAATGAAGGCTGAGGTTCGAAACAAGTAGCTACAGAGGCTGTACTGGTCTGGTAAGGAGTCCGATTTGATTAAGCAGTGAAGAAAAAGAAGTAAGTGAGGAAGCACAGTCACCATGTCAGCAGGCTAGCTTCAGAAACAAGGCAGCATTCAGACTACAACACTGCTGTGAAATTCCAATACTAGCAGCTGAAATGCATTTGGGGAATTCCTATAAGGAAAAAAAAGCCACTAGAAAGCTATCCCACTTTGCTAAACATCACAGATAAATTCACCACAGATAAATACAGATTAGGATTATCTTCAGTATTTAATATGTAGATTTTGTTCCATCTTCACAATTAAGAACTAGCATTAAGTCTTGCTTAACAGACCTAGAGCTTGCCTTTTGCTGGGGAAAGAGGAGCTGGACTGATCTTGAAGCTTTCAGCGTTCCTTCATACAAAAAGTGAACCAGAAATAAATTGGTCATGAAGACACATTAGCAGGACTGGCAAGCCACGGAAAATTAAGAGTCAAAGAGCATGTCCTACAAAGTTAGAGGTAGAACTGAAATAGACATTGCATTTGGGAAATACTCAATCACTGTTCTCCCAGGAGTAAGCTTCCGAACACATTTTAAGCAACATTTTCATTTAATTATTTCCCACATAGAATTCCTATTTTTGCCATGGAGTGTAAATTAAATAGCATATATCTTATGAAACTCATGATACAATGAAGTAAACAAAACAAAAAAAAATAATCAAAGATAAGCATGAGTTCAGGTTAAATTAGAAAAGTAATATTTATATATGTATGCATTAGAAAACTACCACATCTTATAGTTAATACCTCTAATATCCATACACATCTGGAGCATTAGCACTAAAACACTGATCAGGCATTGGAGAATACAGACCAGCTAAAACAATTCCTGTTTCTCTCCCAAAGGACAGCAGCAGATCCCTCAGGGAATTGTGGTGCCTGATGATTAGGGAAAACTGAATGCTGGAGGACATAGTTTCACGCACCCACTCTGTTGATACAAAGCAGCAGCAAGCCTACAAAATAACTTTACATTTGGCTGATGTTAGTGTTACTTAATTTTGCCTTTGAGGCTTCATTACTTTAGAATACTGTAAATCTTAGTTTTATTTATTAAATTGTATTGCTGCTTCAGCGAATGTTTGTATGCCTTCATAAAAACACCTTTGCAGTATGGGTAAGGACTCAGATTTTAAATATGCAAGGCAAATTACGCCTCAAAACGTGTATTTAAACAGATATATAGATAGGTGATTCAGCAAAGCATTTCATTATGTGCTGCTGCTGACCAAAAATGGCACTAGAATCATTCTTAAAGTTTTCTTTCAAATGGAAACACCTTCCAGTTTTCTGATGCCAAATGCTTACAGCTCCCACCTTAAATGTAAACACCTAATGGATATAAGGTGAGTCTTGAATTTTTAGAGCAATTTGAGAAGGAATTTCCATTGAAGTCACAAATGCTTGGAGAGAGGGAGAACAAAGTTAAACTTCATCAGCCAGCAGTCTAAAAACAAACGAGAAAAGCCCTCAAGCTTTAAACATACAGCAAACCCTGACAGAGAGACTTTCTTAGAGACTAGTGTATTATCATACACAAATATTCACTAGAACTTAACTCTTAAGAATCTGAAATCATACCACTAAGTAACTAAGAAAGATGTTTAAAAAATCACACTACTAACTTGTAAATTTTATCGTATGGCTTTATAGCTTACTTTAAGGTAAAATGTATAACACTGAAATGATAACTTGTAAGTTTGAAAATTTAAGATCTTTCTTCAAATTAACTAGATACATAAGGTTATGGGTTTATCCAATTACTCTGCATCTATGCTTTCCACTATCCTGAAATATTAGTTATTTCAACCAAAGTTCAGTTGGAAACTAGCACTTCCAAGTCTATCCAGTTTACTTAGTTTTGAGTGCTCTCAGTTTGGAAAAGCAGAAACATGTAAAACAAAAAAAAAAAAAAAATGTTTATTGACTGAAGTTGGATGCTTAAAGCAAGTGACATGGCACTTTGTTTTACACTTTATGCCTATAGAAAAGTATTGTCAGATAGTTATAGCAGTGATACAGCACTATAATATTTTTAGGTTCTGAATTTAGGAAGTCACGGTTAAAAAATATTTTACCTCAAACAGAATAGTGTGAGGGATTTTGGATTCTCCCCCCTTCCCCACAAGTCTTCTACTTGACAGAATCATGCAGAGAAACACAACTACATCAGCACTACGCTTTAACTTGGATCCCAGTTTCTAGGACAAGTCATGGGTAGCATGCAAACATTCCAGAAGTATCAAAATATGTATGTATACTTTGCATACTCAAATCATCATATTGCTAAGACATGAGTTCTAATGTTTGTGCTCTGTTTTCTGGGTAGTTATTACATATTATAAATGATATTCAATTTTTTTCTATTTATTGTTATATGTAGTTAGATACACTGTGATGTTCAGCAGAAAAAATAAGTCACTGCATTTGAGACTACCAAAAATGAAAACATGCTATCAACCTACATAGTTGACATGTACTTAGATAGCTAAGGTTACTAAATTTCTTATCTCAAATGTTTATGTTTGTAACATACAATCTAGAGCCTAGCTTTCACTTTTTTTTTTCTGTTAAAAGAAGGCATATTCAAACAACACCATTAATTTTGTAGTTTACCAAGAGAAAACAATGAAAACATGTTGTCATTTACAGTTTTAAAATGTAACATTAGATTTCAGGCCCAACTGCCAAATATTTTAAAACCCTATAAACTTCTGCAGACTTATTATTCTGCAAACCTCATTGTTTTTGACTGTTTTAAACTTTAGCCCACCAAGCTACTGAAAACTTGGTTTTCTGTCAAAGCAGACTTCTTTATTGACAAGATCAAACAGCTACATTAACAAGAATAGGGTGGCACACAGAAGCTACCATATGCTGTACTGAAAGAAGATTTTTCACTCTAGTGAGAAGAAAAACACACAAAACACAAAATCCAACAAACTTCATTTCTGAATTTTGGTGGTTGAAGACACCAAGTATTTAAAGGAAGTGCTACTTCCCCTCCCCTGAGGGAAAGTGGTAGGAGTTACCTCTTTTTGTCGTCCAACAAATCTAACTTTCCTGTAATCTTTTTCTTCATATACCTGAAAAATAAAATAAAAACGATCCGATTTAAAAAATAATGACCTCGAAGAACACAAAGGCTTACAGAACTATCAAGTGTAAACCATTTAAATCTTTTAGTCAGTTTCAAGCACTGTCCTCATCTTACAATTATAGGAATTATACAAGCATAGGAAAAACTAATTTTCATTTTTGTCACTGAGAAAATAAATTCTAGGTTGGAAAGTTAAAAAGAATAGGCCGAGGGGGCA